AGGGGAAGACAGCCCACACCGTAGTCAGTTTTGAGAAGAGACGTCTGCACTTGCACTTTTAACTTTTATTAAGCACGGGCAACAAAAGTTATGCACTAAGAGCATCTCCAATAGGGGCCCAAAAAATGGGCCGCGCGCTAAAATCCAGATTTTTTGGGGCGCCGAACAGCTCCAGCAAAAGCTGTAAAACATGCACGCATAAAAAAGAGTTGAGCGCGCGCTGAAAAACGGTATCAAAAGCTGCAAATTTGAGGCGCCGGATTGCGCGCACTTCAAATTTACACTGCGTGTTCTTTTGGGCGCGCGTTTTTTGGCATCTGCGCACTAAAAGTGTTACAGTGGCGCGCTAAAACTATTTTAGGGCGTGAAATTTTTGTGCACATGTTGGAGATGCTCTAATAAGCACTCTTCATATTTAGATTCTCAAAAATAAATTAGAAAAAAGAATAACTGAAACTATTATGCAGGAACATATTAAAAAAGCAAAAACTGAATAATTCAATAGCACTTGTGATTAAAATTCAAAAACATTTAACGTAGAAGCTCTTGAGCACTAAGCATAAAAATTCAGAATAGTGGGAAAATTGTAGTTGCACTAACCATTTAACCGGCACTAACGATTACAAAGCACTGACAAATTATGCAATTTGACGGCCTTAAAACCGGAGAGCTTGCTACTGACTTTATAACAGAACTGAGCGGTGCGATAGATAATCGAAAAGGAATCCGTTGCACTGCTGACTCTCCTTCCTCTATCTCGACATTGCCGGCCCTCAACAGCGATCTTGCGCACATTAGTCTATTGCTCCCCAACGGCGGCACGCTGGCCTTCCTCTCCTCCACGGCGGGGCATCCCCGTCCTCTTCCTCCTCCTCCGCTGTGTTGCTCGCCCTCAACCCTCTCCTCAGTGGCGCTGCGTGGGAGAGAAAGAGCTTGCTAAGCCCGCTCGGAGCATTCCATGTGTTTCTGATAAGAAATTTGCTATTGAAAATTGCGAAGTGTGGGTTGTTTTACCCTTGGTCCAATCCCTTTCATTGGATATATGATGGACGTCAGATAGAGGGGGCCAAGTTGCAGCATGACTTGCTAGAGGCAATTGTCCCGGTGTCTTATCATTTCCTTCTCCGTTTTTTTAGAATCATATGGTCTCATTATTGCTCTATAATAAGGGGTACAATAGAAGGATCCCATGGCTGAAGAAGCTAGAGATAGCGACCATGATCAAGGGAGAGAACACTCTTTACAAGATTATGCGCCTCGTAGTTAGACGCTTCACCCTCATGAATAAATCTTACTGAAATGAATGAACTTGCTCATTCCATGATCTCCGCAAGCATTGAGCTATATGCGAACCCGCTTCATTGATGTTCTTTACTACGGTGGATGTGTCACATGCGATAACAAGTTCCTGCAAGTTTAGATCCTCTACGAGGGCCAAGGCCTTGCAACATGCTACACATTCCAAGGTAGTTAGCCGGATAAGTGCAGTTGTCAAGGACTCGTGCTGATGACCGAAGCTACCTTCCGGAGTCGTCTCGGCAAATAACGGCAGCTGCCCCCTTGGGATGTTGATCTTGTGAAATTTGATACACAATTCTCGGTTCCCTTGTCCTCATGGTGCCAATCTGAAGCAAGCCACGGTTACCAAGGGGCCAACACTAATGATGGGCACTAAAGTTTCCGACCTTAGGCACAAGGACGCAGAATTCTATGGCCTCGCGAAGACTAGTGTGATGTCAACTCTTGATGATGATGATTATGGAGGAGGTGGTGGAGCTGCTGGAGCTAGTGTTACGTTGGAGCATGTAGGCCTAGGATGTCGGTGTTGTGTGCAACATGTCTGATGAGTTTTCATGTTTAACTTTGTTTTCCGCGCGTGATGTTAAAATGTTGAATGGTGATGTTGTTTTATGTCAGTTCCAGTGTGTATGCATAAGTTTGTTGTTTCTATAAATTTTGGTAGGAGGGCTCGCTACCAAGTTGAAGAAATTGACTGCAGTGATATGAGCATTCGAGGCGGTTAGTAATTAGAAACTTCATGCGATGCTGTGAGCAGTAGAGCCAGTTAAAAAGGAGAAACCACCTATGGCGCCCTGAACATTCGAGGTGGTTCGAGTAACCGCGTCTGACTCCCGAGTATTAGCAACACAGATTTTCAGACGGGTTGGGTAACCGCCTCGGGCCCATTTACGAAAACCACCTACAAAGCCCGATTCCATACTAGTGGCACATGCAAGGAGGAAAGGAGAGGGTAGAATAGTGGGTGGAGGCAAAATTTCGAGCTAGAGCATCCAATTCCATTGTTTGAACAGAGGAGTAAATCTGAATTCACTCAAAATTTCTACTTAACATGGGTAAGAAAGGTGGCCAAGTAAATAGTAGATAGGTAAGATAAGCATGTGCTGGATTTATTTGAGAATTGTTTTATGGATATTTTATAGGTCAAACTAGGAGCGAGTATGTGATTGATGTTTGATCATTATTTTGAACATGGCCATGTAGTGAAACTCATGTGGGATGTTCAAAATGATGAAATATTTCTTGACTAAATTACTAAGATTTGAGAAAAAAATATTTAACCATTTCTACAAGGAATTACGTATTTTAAAATTATAATCTTGAAGGGGCTAGTGATTTTATATATAATAGACTCAAGAAATTATTTTAATGAATTATTGTTTTGAATAAATAAATATTTTTAGTTCAAACCTTATTCTTAGGGTTTTTGGAAAATAAAGGTTTATTTGCTTTTTGACGAAAATAAATGGTAAAAAAATTGGGCTCTAACCACATGACCTGATCACAGGGAGAGATTTGGGGCATAGGATTGCAAGAGTATAATTGGGGAATTTATCATGAATTAAAATTCCAACAAACTCTAAATAAATGCAAGAGGCAAAGGCAACATAATAATTTTGCTAGTCCCAAATTTTTGTCTTTGTTAACATGGATGATGTGATTACTAAACACATGGTGTGGCCATTCCTGGAACACTTTTTTTGTTTAAGCCCAATAAAGTATGCAGGAGCTCCATTTAGGGCCCCTCCTAATCTACTATGCTTTAACACTTATATTTTTCCTTCAAATATTGGGAACATTTTCAGTTTCACAAATAGAGGTGAAAATCATAATATATTTGGTTGTTTACAAAGTTATACTTGTAAAAGCTAAAAAAACATAATACGTAAGTCCAGCCAGATGGTTTCTATGATATATATGGCTCCCATTTCTTTTCTCCCTTTCTCTCTCCTTCCCCGTCTTAAGAGTTGTTCGTGTCTCCCTGTCCCTCTCCCTTCCTCCTCCAGCGGCCTCGTGTCAGCCGGAGTAGGAATGCGAGAGGTGGCTGGCTGGCCTATGTAGATAGTAGCGGTAGGGATACGTGTAGACTTGGGTCTGTTTGGATGGCAGCCGAGCGCTGCCACGCCAATATTTTGGCGTTGACCACCAGGCTAGGAGGGCGTTTGGATTGGTGCCAGCGCTTTCTTACCCTGCCAATTCTTTGGTCGCTAGTACACCTCCTCTTTACTTTTTGCGCCCATGCTTTGGCTTGGCAATGGCGGCAGAATCGTACGCCAAAAAATTGGCACGCCCTTGATTTGGCAGGGCAGTCCTGGGCGCTAACCAAGGGGCTGTTGGTTAGCGCCCAGGACTGCCCTGCCAAATCAAGGGCGTGCCAATTTTTTGGCGTACGATTCTGCCGCCGCCGCCAAGCCAAAGCATGGGCGCAAAAAGTAAAGAGGAGGTGTACTAGCGACCAAAGAATTGGCAGGGTAAGAAAGCGCTGGCACCAATCCAAACGCCCTCCTAGCCTGGTGGTCAACGCCAAAATATTGGCATGGCAGCGCTCGGCTGCCATCCAAACAGACCCCAAACAGCCCCTTACCATCTAGGATACTGGTGTTGTGTCTTTGTTATTTGCTCCGTTGGCAACGAGCAATGTATGAAGCTCGCCTTCCTCCTCCTCAACCGGACTTCCATGGTGGACTGTGGCGGCGAGATGTGGATTTGGTGAAAGCTTCTTCAATAAGCTCACAAGAACCCCTGGACAGATCTAGTGCCAATCTTTCTTCATCAGTTGGTCAAGTTAAAGAGGAAGCAGTATATTTGATTTCAACCTCCGCCAATTTCTCTGGGGTGTGCAAGCTATCTTGTGGATCTCGAGCACAGAAATTGCAGATTAACAAAGGAAATTCTTATGAATGTGCCATCTTCAACCTCCATGCAAGGGCCTTATCCCCGGGTCCACCGTTGGCAAGGTTTGTGTCAAAGACAATGAACTTGTCGGTTACGTGCGATATGACTCAAATCATAGTTTCAAATAGCGGGCTATGCCTCCTAGCAGCGGACCTCTCCAAACGCTATAGGGTGATATTTACTACAATGGACTCAATTGCAATCCTCTTGTATGGGTTTAGAGTCCTACCTGCGATATGACTTAATTGCATTTCTCTTGTATGGTTTCGAGTCATATATGCAAAAAAAGAAGGGCCGTGTTGTATTTTTTTTTTCTTCCTAGGTCCTCTATGGTCTATGCAACGATGTGTTAATTTTGATGTGAATTTTATGGTTCGAGCCATTTTGATTTCTCATACTACTATGTAACTAGTTTGCATAAGAAATATTGTGGAACGATATGTTCGTGTTGCTACTATAACATATTTTTTCCAAGCATTTTCCAACAATCATAAATGGGGTTTTGTAAACCAGGTGCACCAAATGGTTGGATGCACATGATACCTTTCCCCGATGCGACCTACCCTGCCTACCTATTCCGGCCGCGATTCTGATTGGGCCACTTTTGATTAAGCGTAAGTTACATCCAAGTTGATCTGGCTGCCGCAAAGTAGAAGGGAGCATGTTGTCAGCGAACGTATTTCCTCCCCTAAACATTAGGGTGTTTGGTTCAGGTTTGTTGAGATTGAAAGGTGTTGAGTGGAATGAAATCCGCAAGTCCTCCCATTACCATGGTGAAAGAATTAACCTAACATGGCCTTGGTGAGTTAAAGAACACACTGGATGCCGGCATAGCTGACAAAGGACTTGTGCTTGATCATTTCTAGTTCAGATGATCCTCCGTGGACCACCTCCACACCAGTGAGCACAGCCGCCCTGTTGCTGGGATTGCCCTGGGCATCTTGCTCCCCGGTGTCAAATTTTCCGAAGATGCAAAACCTGCCGGCTCCAAGGTACAGCAGGCTACGGCTTATCTGCACCCATCCATCGGGATTGTCAAGGATTTGCCAGTTATGCAGCAAGTTGGGAGCCCTGCCAAGGTTGGAGAGGTCCAATGCGCACAAGCTGTTGGCGTTGTTGCCGGCCATGCCGAACCAGAGGTTGCGAAGCTCAGGGACATGCTCAGCCCGTCCATGGAATGGCAGGGTCCAGCGGCCAGCCTTTTCCAAGGTGCAGCTAACGGTGTCGAAGCAGTAGGTGCCGATGAGCCCAGCGGAGGACACGCAGATAGTCGAGCCATCACCCAGCAGCATGTAGGACTGGATGGCCGTGCACTCATAGGCTGCGTCGTTGACGTAGGGCGGCGGCGGGAGCCGGTGCCACTCCCAGCATTTCTTGCCGTAGATGAGGGCTTCGAAGTTGAAAGCATTGTGGGGAGCCGGGAACCTGTCCATGACGTACAAGGCCTGACCGGAGGTCTCCGCATGAGCGATGGAGAAGGAGACGGGGCTGTCACCCTTGGGTTCGTTGAGGCCGGCAACGGGCTGGACGGAGCAGCTGCCGGCGTCGCAGAGGACGGTGTTGCCTGCCGAGTCCATGGAGAGGATCTTACCATCGCCGCCGCCGCCTCGTCCGTAGAAGGGCAAAAAGTCGAGCCTTGGGCCGTCTACGCGGTACGCTTCGAATTTGAGCCTGGGCGGTGGCATCTTCGGAGCAACCGCTGGTGATGGCGGCGGCGTATTCTCCTCCGTGGGTTGCGCTGCTGCTGGCGCCCGTGCTTCCGCCGTGGATGGGTAGAAGAGATGCTCCCCGGGCTTGATGCGGCTCACCGTGTACAGGCTGCCACTGCTGGATCTCCGCATCACCACATTCAAGAACCGCCGCGCCTTCATTTTAATTCTACCCACTCCTACAAAACGGAGATCAGGAATTAGAGTAGATCATAGTATTTGATCTTCCCCTGACGTTACAGAAGAGATTCTTCCACAATATCTACAGAAACAAATAATGAAAACACGCCAAATGGTGAAGAGAAAGATCGAGTAATGCCTGCGACAAGACTTATTCCTTGGGCTGATCGAAGCTGGCGCTGCCGGACGAGGAGTGGCGGCGGCGGCGCGAGGAGATCGGGATGGGGTGTGCGATCTAGGTCTAGCCGTCATGCCCTTTCTTCTCTTCTTGTTATTTATCTTTTTTATTTTTATGAGACCCTTTTTTATGAGGTGATTATTATTTTTGTAGCTTTTTTAGGGTTATTATTTTTTAGCTTTTTTTAGAATCATTTTTTTAAATAGCTTTTTTAGGGACGAAAAACTTTGTTCATTCATCGAAAACCACAGTTTGTGGGATACAAGGAGGATTATGGGGATGATCAAGCCACACGTGGCTCCCCTGAGCTAAAGAAAGCGAAAATTTAGCTAAACTATGAGCATCTTCGTTCGACCGGCACCCTTCAAAGACGATGTTGCAATTGAAGCCCAAGACTCTTGATTTCATTTCTGAGATAACCATGCGGTAAGGACCCTTGTTGTTGCTGGATGTCTTGCACCACTTGCTTTGCATCAGATGTCACAATAAAATTTTGAACAGCTAAGTCCTCGGCAAGTGCTAAAGCTTCCTGTCATGCCATGCATTCAAGAACCGAAGAATCCTGCATCCCTTCAACCACCAATGCTTAACTCCCCAAGTAATTGCCTTGCTCGTCGCGACATACATCCACTGTCGCCCCTCTCCTGTGGCGTTTGGATACTCCCGCATCAACATGGATTTTAGCAAATCCTGCCGGCAGGGCCTTTGGTCTTACACTGCCTGATGGTTGTGTTGTGTGTTGTCGTTCTAGACATTCCTTGTTGCTCCTCCTCTAGTATTTCCAGGTCCGCTAGATAGCGATTGATGAAAGCATGGGTCAGATGGGGGCTCTAGAAAATGCCCTCGTGGATGGCTTTTCTCCTCGCCATCCACGTCGCCCAGAGTGTTACTGCCAATTTCACAAAAGCATGATGAGATAGCGAGTCACTAGTAGAAAAAGGCCTATTAGTCTTGGTTCTGGAATCGAGACTAAAGGGTCGGTACTAAAGGCCCCTCCCTTTAGTTCCGGTTTTGTTACGAACCGGGACTAAAGGCCCTCCACGTGGCCGCTGTCTGGAACACCAACCGGGACTAAAGGAAATTTTACGAAATTTCAAATTTTTGAATTTTATTTTTATTTTTTTCGAATCATTTAACTTCCCGGCCAGTCACCCATCCTCTCACTACTCCAGCCCAAGCACGCTTAACTTTCGGGTTCTATTCCCCCTCGTTTCCAAGTCTGCACTTGTTGTTTTCCTGACAATAGTAAGATGTCAATCCTATTAACCCTCAGGAGTTTAGTTTGAGCATGAAGTCACATGTTTCACTGTTTGAGTTTGAAACTATTATTCTAAAAAATAATAATTATTTAATAACACTAATATTTCGTGAATAAATAGTTTGACCATAGTTTGACCAGATTTGACCAAAATTCAAAAAATGAAATAATTATTTAGTAACACTAATATTCTTGAATAATTATTTAATAACACTAATACTTCTTGAATAAGTAGTTTGACCATAGTTTGACCTGATTTAACCAAAATTCAAAAAAAATGAAATTTGAGCATATCCTTTTTTCCTTTAAGAATTTGAGAATTCTAAAAATTTGCAAACATGCCGTAGGCTGTCAAAGTCGGGTGCGGATTTTCGTGCTGAATATTTTGCTATATTATACGTTTTTTCCGACATCGTATGCAAAAGTTATAGTTGTTTTACTTTTTTATAACACTTTTTTGCAAAACATGTCCAAATTTAAGTTTTTTAATTTTTCTAACTAGTAGATGTAGTAATATAACTACATCTTGAAGGATTTTATTTTTTGAAGTTTTTATCATTTTCTTTTGTTTTTTTCAAAACTG